TGACACCGACCACCACCGTCACAAGGGTCTCGGGACCGCGAGGTGACAGTCACTGGGGGCGGGGGATTTTCCTGGAGACTGGCTTCAGCAAAGGTGAGCGACAGAGTAAAGTACTCCAGTATTTGATATCTTTCTCCTCACTTTGCCCATGAGGAATATAAAATGCTTCTTGAGTAAGGTGACCAGACGTCCCACTTTGGGCGGGACAGTCCTGATTTTTGGCGTTTTAAAAAGTCCTGATTTTTGGAAAGAATGCACGACAAGCTAGGGAACGGTCTATCTGGTCCATATAGACCAAATTTTTAATCAAGAATCCCCCCCCTTCCCCCAGTCAATGGTGTCCCACTTTAAATCTGGTCACCTTATTCTTGCAAGAAGGCAGGCCTTGTTCTATACTAGTAGGAGTCATGTAACTACGGAGCCTGAGTGATTTTGTATTTAGAAAAGGTCTAAAATCGTGTTTAGAGGCTTCTGCCATTCCCTAAAGCAGTGGTTCTCAACCTTCCTAATGTCGTGACCCTTTCATACAGTTCTTCATGTTGTGGTGACCCCCCAAAATATAAAATTATTTTCATTGCTACTTCATAACTGTAATTTTGCTACTGTTATGAATCGGGCGACCCTGTGAAAGGGTCATTAGACCTCCAAAGGGGTCGGGATCCACAGGTTGAAAACCGCTGCCCTAAGGGGTATGTGCACAGCCACTACATACTAAAGACAAAGTGAGAGGAGCCACAGGCATGACCACTCTGTTCTTACATGTGACAGTGAAGGGCATTTCCTCCCTCCTCCCTCCACGGCAGACGCCTGGAGAAAGGTGGGATTAGACAGCTCACTACACAATTCACTACTGTTTACTACATGAATGCTGCCATGGTGGCTTTCATTGCAAAGGCTTGTGTGAGAACATAACCCCAAATCTTTTCCGAATTACAGACCACAGGGGGGCAGTCACTGAGCAGAAGGCAAAGTGTGAAGAATCCTGTGTGAAGCTTCCTCATTAAAAACGGAACAAAAAAACACAGTGGACTAAAGAGTACTACATATCTCTTTTCAGAAACTTTTTTGGGCCAGAAGTATTTTCAAAAGGCAATATGTTATACACATACTTGTATATAACTTGTATGTTATACACATACTTGTACACATACAGTTCAAGCACCTTGAACTGGCAAGTGCTATGCAAGGGTCTCTGGGGCTACAGATAGCTTTCCTGGGACTTTATTATATAATATTCCTATTATATAATATATAATATTCCTTTTGGAGTTTGGGGAGGTCACTAAGCATACTAATATTTCTGCAACAAAACATTAGTATTCACCCTAAGTGGGAATAGACTTTGAACAATGTCATATAAATTCAAATCAGGATTTGTAGTCTGTGATACATGTAAAAAAAAAAAATCCCCCTTCCTCCAAGCTTTTAGTATTTCAGATGAGATCATGGACTAATACTTTACAATAAGTTAGTGTCTACTGAGTGCTCAGGCCATTGCTAGTATTATGGTGAAAACAATCCTCCCCGGTAAACGAAAGCCATTGCTGTTGAGTTGACTGACTCCCTGGTGTCCAAATGGCTGTGCTCTGGACGGCTTTCAGCAGCTGCCTCCTATGGACGGAACCCTGGTGGCACAGGGAGAAGTGCACAGCTGCTGAGCAGATGATCAGCGGTTTGCACTTGCCGGCCATCCCCAGGAAAGCGGTGGCGGTCTGCAGCTGCAAACATCTACGGCAGTGGAAACACGAAGGTGCGTTCTGTGCTGCTCTGTGTAGCAACTGTGAGTCCGAGCCAACGTGAGGGCGATGGGTTTGGCCAGAGACTTGTATAGAAATGATTGCCGGGCCTTTCTCTCATGGCGCCACTGAGTCGTTTGGGTCCCCAACCTTTCAGGTCTTACTTTAACTTTTTGGATGTTACCTGCAAGTTCTGAGGCTGGATCTCAGTATCTATAATGCTTCCTTTGAAACGGCACAGGGCTGCATAGTTTCCTTTATCTTATTATTATTTTTAAAAAGGACAAATGACTTTGTAAAGAAACAATGAACAACTATTTCAAGAGTGTTCTGAGGAGCAGAAAGGGGGATCCATTTGACTCTCCTCTGGAAGCCCGGCCCCTCTGATACCATCTCAGCTCCAAGGAGGCAAGCACCTTGACCTGGCAAGCGCTATGCAAGGGTCTCTGGGGCTACAGACAGCTTTCCTGGGACTGGAGATGGGCAGAGAATCTACAGCTCAGCCCACAAGAATGGAGAAGTGGAAACAATGAGCTTAGAGGAAATAATATGAATGATAGGGGCCATAGTCTGGGGTGGGAGCTAAGGGGGCCTCCAAGGTGTAAGCTGGGAAAGAAGTCTGTTCTGACTTTGGGGTGCACCAGGCAAACAGCCCAGCCTCTGTGGCAGTTACATAATCTCCTGCCAACTTGTGAAGAGGTGGAGTCTAGCCTGTCAATCAGGTCACAGTTTGATGACCTCATCTGGAGGCAATATGGAGATAAATAGCTCACTGGAGGCCAGATTCTTACTGACCAGCTACATGGAGACCCCTGATGGAACCAGAGCCCTGTAGCTGGAGCAGCCATGTGGAGACTCAGGCCAGCGCTAAGATGCTTCCACTGCCACTGCACCCATAAGACTTTCCACCCCCTGGCCTGTGCTCTTCCTGCACTCGGCAGCCTTGCATGTGCTGCATGAGTCTGAAGAGGAAATCATAGAATGGTATTGGACAAATGGGCTAATATCGGACTTATCGACTGGATCTGGGCTGGGATGTTGTCTTAATGTACAATTACCCTTTGATATAAAGTTCTCTCTTACACACGAGTTTCCCTGGATTTATTTCTATAGGCTACCCAGACTAACACAGCCTCCCAGCTTCCAAATCATGTACTTGATGGGGGAGGGGAGGCCTCCATTCCACTTATGGGCTGGAGCTAACTAGGCCAATAAACTGCAAAGCCATGGTGACCCATCACCTGGTTTACA